AAAAAAAAAAAAAAAAAAAAAGATTGCACCTCAAGCTTGATAAGGGCCGACTACGGTGAGTTGTTCTAGATTTCATAGCACTCACCGACGTCAGAGATGTGGTTATTAGTTCGAGAGAAATGATACCGGTCCCCTCCAGCGCTAGCCGCTTCGAATTGATTTATCATTTGGTCCCCTACAATATCGATTTTCCCACCACCCTTCCCGACTCCTCCAGTGGTATAAGGATACCCCAAGCTGTCAAAAATTACTTCGACGCTCTCTAGTTTCCCACGCCATGAGTTTCTACACCGGCCACGAGTGCCGCCGGTGATCGCCGTAAAGTAAGCTATCCATATGTTGGGAGAGAGGATAGTCGGAAGAATGCTAATCGAGGGATAAATAGAGAGTGAGCGTTATTCATCGAGAAAAACCGGGGGAGCTATAGGAACTCTGGTATTGAAGAGGGAGTCGAGGAGGATGAAATCTCGCCTTGGAGAACGGACTGACCAGGACGAATACCGACGCAGAACTAGCCAAGAAGCTTCCATCCTCCGTGCGAACCAGAGACCACTAAGGGCGCATCTGACCCGGCAGAGACCACTAAGGGCGCATCTGACCCGGTTCAACAGCTAGAGGACAAGATATCCTCACTAAAGAGCCCACTAAAGAGTATCAACCTTGCCTCAAAGGACCGCCTCGGAGGCATCAATGAATGCCCACTGAGAGCCGAGTGAACGGGATCGGTCTCGTGTCGCCACCTCCGAAACCCTGAGTGGGAGATCAGGCAGAGGTCTCCAGGAACAGCGATTTCACCGCTCCATCAAATCGTCCTTCTGTAGTGGTCACCATCCCTACCCTCTGCCACGATCGACGACCTAGGTCACCATTCCTTTTCTCTTTCTTCTCTCTCTTTCTGCTTTTGTTCGCCACTATCCTTCTTCCATTTGATCTTCTCTCGACCTTGTGCAATCTCGCTGCGTCCCACGGCCTGGCTGAGCCCCCTCTCACTATGCCTTCGACACGGAAGTCTCCCAGGCACGTTTTTTTCCACTACGTGGGTCAACGACAAGCCTTCAGGGAATCGCAGAACCGGCGCCGACGAAAGGAAGCCGCCGCCGTGCGCGGGCGGCTGAATAACCTCCGCACTTACCCACAGGATGACCCCGCCAACCCCGTCGACAATGACTACATTGATATTCATCTGACATATCCAAAGGAGCTCTCCCGCCAGAACCAGCAGACGGAGAAGGCGACCATCCGATGCAACCAGCGAAGCGAGTTCCAGGCGATCCGAAAGCGATGGCAACAAGCTCTGAAAGAGATTCGGAATATAGAAGTCAATCCTGACCACTACTCCTGGCAGAAGGAGCAAGGCGGAATGACACCGTTACTTCTGGGCCAGCACACGTTGATTGGGGATGTCTTGCGGAATGGAGACACCGTTTTACTAGAATGGAATGAAATGGAAGGAGACATGGAAGGGGACGATATCAAATGGGGGGACAAGGAGTGGGCGGAAACGGCATGAAATGCCAGTGGAATGGGGCAGGCGCTTCCTAAGCCGCGGAGATGTGGGCATTAGCAAGGACAGCCACACCAGAGATGGCAATAGTGCGGGCATAGGGTGGGGCTGAATTTGAACAGTTAAGGGCTGAGGATGATGCGTAACCTGGGAGTTAAGTTTCAACTTTTGCTAGAGCTTTATCTCATCTCACCAATGTCAGAAATTACCGCAATAAAGGGGGAAAAAGAGGTTGGGGGGGGGGG